CCGGCCTATAAGACGACCCCCGATTTTTGGGGGATGTTTTTTAGCATAAAAAGTCGTCTTATACGCCGGAAAATACGGTAACATAATCAAACAATTTGCTTGTAAAACTTCTTGACTTCTAATTTTTTTTCTAGATTTGTCCTTCAACAATATTGAGGTCATTGAAGGTCTGGAATCTCTGGTTAAACTGCAGGACTTGAGCCTCTACAACAATAGAATATCTAAGATTGAGAATTTGGACACATTACAAGAGCTACAGGTCTTTTCTATAGGAAACAATAATATAACTGCTTTGGAAAATGTAAGAATTGTTTTTTTTTGTCAGTGTTTCCTTCCTAATCTATCAATCATACCTATAAATACCAATTATGTATCTATCTAGCCATACATCCTTCTTCCCCTCCCTCCAACTCCATATATATCCACTAGAAGACTTACTCGGTATTGCCTGGGTCCTTCAGGGCAGGGGCCTGGCGATGTAGGGTGTGTGTGCAGGCATCAGGGAAGGGCTTTGGGGATGTGGGGTATCATGTCAGGAGCATGGGGGATGTGAGGGTGAGGGTTGGGGGTGAAAAGGTGCTCAGAGCATGAGGTTCCATCCAGCAGGACTTTCTCTTCCCCTCCAGGGTGCCAGGGACCTTCTGTCCCTACAAGCTCCCTGGCGCTGTGGCCAAGTCTTGTCCAGGGGTGGTCCTGGGGCTTACAGGGTTTTCTCCATTCCCCCCTCTGACTTGTTCAAGAGCAGCCCAAGGGTTTGTGGGGGCTTTATTCTTCCTCCCCCCATAACTGCAGCCAAGGGAGGGGGGAAGGATTTGGGGTATGGAAGCCATTTACCTGGTCCAGTGGCCAGCCATGTGGAGCCCTGTCTCCAGTTGGCCCCTTTCTTGGTGATGCAACTACCCCTAGTGGTCACTGAAATATAGCTGTCCCCTATGCTCTATGACCCCAGTGGTCATTCTGCATATTGCTTTCCTTCACTATGCCCCCTCCCTTTTCATGTTATGGAAAACAGTCCCATTCCCAGCACTTCCTGTTTTCTTGGCACAGCCAACTCCTGACCTTGCTTTAAGGGTACGTCTAGACTACATGCCTCTGTCGCCAGAGGCATGTAGATTAGGCTACCAGGCATAGTAAAATGAAGTGGCGATTATTTAAATCACCGCTTCATTTTCCTATGTCTGGTAGCCTAATCTACATGCCTCTGGCGACAGAGGCATGTAGTCTAGACGTACCCTAAGTTAAGATAAAAGGAAGCCTCATATCAAATTTGGTTGTCCTAGCTCTTACTGTTTAGGAAGAGTTATTGAATAAACAGACTCACAGATGACAGATGGATATATTCTAAAATATATACAGTGTTCATTCAGCCCTTTCTCCCCAAATATACCCATTATACATCAATTCATTTCTACCCATACATAACCATCTGTGTCAGGGTAAGCCCATCCATTTCCCTCAGGGGGTGGGTGTTGGGCCTCTGAGGCTGCAGAAGTAGCGCTCAATCCTGTGTGCGTCTTAGTGGCCAGAGTCAACAGTAATACCCTCTCTCACCAAGGCAGTCAGATCTAGCAGTCAAAATCGATATCAACATCCTTTTCACATAAAGCAGTGTGAGTCCAGAGTCAATATCAACACCCTCTTCCTGCAGGGCAGGGTAGCCTAGTGGTCAGAGTCAACAGCAAAGTACCCTTCCTACAGGGCAGTATGGCCTAGCAGCCTGAGTCAATAGCAATGTGGAGGATAGAGCCTCTTTTGGGGTTAATGAGGATGGACGATAGGACCTGGGTCTGACCTCTCCACTGGGTCCCAGCCCAGAGCCCTGTAGAGAGATTATAATACTCTCCTCTCTCTATTGGTTAAGTTGTCGGAAGGGTTTTAAATCAGAGTACTGCGTCTACACACGGTGAGTTAAATCGGGCGACCAGCATTTTAAAATGGTTCGTGGGGCTTCTGCTCTGGTTCCCTGCTGACTGGCAATGGCATCTGGGGGCACCTGTGTTTCCCCTTCAGGAGTTCCTACAGCACTTCCTTCCTCATCAGCAGTCAGCCCAGACTGAGCTGCTCCACACGCCTTTGTAGCTGGCCTCCAGTTGGAACAGAACAGAGCTCCAGTGCAGAGTTGTTACACCCCATCACAGCATCTATCTATAGATCCACATACTTCCATGCATATCCTCTAGCTCTGTCATTGTTCTATTGTCACTTGTCCCTGAATCTGAACTCCTTTTTAGAAATGCAACCCCCCTTCAAAGTCTCACTTTCTGTATAGTCTGAAGTAAGTTTCTAGTAAGATATTCAAGTAGGAAATACTAATGTCAGCTAACTTTTTCCTTTTTTGAATTATTCACTGATTGGGCCAGTTCTTGGCTATGTCTATACTGCAGCGCTATTTCGGGATACCTTTGGTATCCCAAAATATCTATTCCACGTCTTTTGAGCAGGGGGTAGGGGAACTCCACCCATGTCCCAGTCCAGGGCCCTGCCAGCAGTGGTGCAGTCCTCTGCTAGCTTGGTGGGGAATTCCACCACAACATGCCGAGCTCCTGGGGAACAATTCACCACCCTGGGCTACTTCCTACCTTCTCTTGGAAGGAAGGGGATGTGAGCAAGGTCCTGAGGTAGGCTGGAGATGATAATTGTCCTGAAGTTCAAGGCATTTGTGATGGGGTGTATTTGCACTGGGCTTGAAGGGGTTAATCTGGGTCATCTGTCTGAGGAGGCCCCACACCCCCAGCCCTGCTGGGCATGCTCCAGCTGGAGGCTGGCTATAAAGGCCTGTGGAGTTGCTTAGTCAGGGCTGACTGCAGCAGAGGAAGGAGATGCTGCAGGAGCTCCTATGAATGAAGCACAGACAGATCAAGCAGCGACGGCCAAGCCAAGGTGGACTGCAGGGGAAGCTCCTGGACTGGAGCGAAGGGATGGAGAGGATTACCTACAGGATACTGGTAGGAAGCAGCCCAGGGTGGTGAATTGTTCCCTGGGAGCTTGGCATGTTGTGGTGGAATTCCCCACCAAGCTAGCAGAGGACTGCACCACTGCTGGCAGGGCCCTGGACTGGGACATGGGTGGAGTTCCCCTACCCCCTGCTCTCAAACCCCAATAGAGAGAGATTTGCCTAACATTCTGCCGCTGGCTACTAGGCCGTGCCATGTTGACCACAGGGAAAAATATATTGATTGGTTGGCCACTAGGCCATACTGTATAGACTCGGTGGCCATTAGGCTGTAGTATCCTGAACACAGGGGGAAGTATATAAAGTTAGTGGCCGCTAGGCTTTAGTACCTTAAACACAGGGGGATGTATATAGCTTTGGTAGCCGTTAGGCTGTACTACCTCGAACACAGGGCAATGGTATTGGCTCTTTGGCCAGTAGGCCTTGGTGCCCCTAAGAGAAGGGGGAGCATTACTGTTGACTATGGCTGTTAAGCCACACTACCCCAAGAGAGAGTTCAAAAGGCTGCAGAGGGTTCCTCACCACCCTCAGAGGGGGATGGGCAAGACACCCCTCGACAACATTGCTTCTGCTTTTCTATAGTGTGTGGGAATGCAGCATTTCTGTTCTTTTGGCATAGGTGGTCTACCTCAGGAAGTTTAAAAACCTACGTACATTGAATCTCACTGGGAACCCTCTCTGTGAAAATGAACAGTATTCAATGTTTATTGCTGCTCACCTTCCAGATCTGGTGTACTTGGACTTCAGGCTTGTGGATGAGAACACAGTATGTACTTTCACCGTCCCCATAATGCAACCATTTGGAGACTGGACACACGCTTGCTGGCACTCTGAGACTAGACCAGTGGTGGGAAACTTGCAGCCCATAGGCTGCAAGCTGCCCATTAGAGTTCTATGTTTGGCCTGCAAGACATTTTGTTTATCGTTGTCCACGTGCAGGGTTGCCAGATTCTACTGGTTTCTGTCCACATAGTTTTTTTTCCTACTGGTATTATTAAAGTGACAGGCACCTAAAGCAAAGGCATATGAAGTGAAGTGTGTGCTAATTGTACACAACGTTGACTGTGAGCTGGGCACTCCCTCTACATTCAATCAAAGAGCTGCTGTAGTTCAGTTGGCACACCCTGCAAATTCTAGACATGCAAGCGCAGTTAGAAAAACGACCCTATCCCAAGAGACTGTCTTGATTATGACAATTTTAGGGTCCACTGAGATGGAGGGCCACTTGTGTGAGGATCCACTCACTAGCCAAGTTTGCCCATTGGTGGGCTACGCCAACATTCATAGGGTTAGTGTAGCTTTTTTTTTTTTCTTCAATTGTTGTCTTACTGAAATTCTCTCTAGACAAATAAGAGCCATCAGATATATCCTCTCTGGGCCTTTTTTATTTACAGGATGTAGATTATACCTAGCATAGGAAAGCAACAGCAGTCTGGATGGATGTACATTACACAGTGAGCTGTGTCTGAGCCAAGATTTATTACGAGCCAGGGTAATCTAACCCAAATGTTTTCTTTGTTTGTATTTCCCAGCGAGAAGTTGCAGAAATGAAATATCAGTATGCCATTGATGAGCTAAAGCAAGGTGAAGCTCAGGTCCTGGCTAAGCTAGAGGAAGAGCAGGCTAAGGAGAAAGAGTTGGAGTACCACAAGGTACATTATCTGAGGCTCACTGTATGCACATTGCAAAGAAACCAACTGGCTTCTCTTTCACCCACCGTGGTATCCAACCAGTTTTGAAGCTCTAGCAAACTAGCCACATTATTCAAACCAACTCACCACACCCAACCGGTAAAATAGCCACATGTGGTTAGTGTGTTGGACACCACGGCGTTAGAAGATTTAATGGGAGCTTAACATAGATTGAAATAAAAATAAAGTGAGTATTAATCTCTGGGGTCTGTAAATATCACCTTTCAATGAAAACTGAAGCTGCTATGTCATATGCATGATATGCAGGAACATAGGTCATTGGGCTGAACAACGAAATCTACAAGACGGACCCTGATTTAGGGAAGCTCCAGAGTAAATTATAGTTTGGTTTCTTGTCAGCCTGATGCTAGATTAACACAATATCAGATCTGATTGAGCTGTTAGCATTATTCATGGTGCAGTGATTCCCCCACCCCCTTCACAATCAGTGACTGGATAATATTGCAGTACTAATTTCATTTTATGACTGATTCTAAGATCACAGCAGGGAAATAGTCAAGATATAAGATTGGAATACAGCAGAATGGTGCCATCAGCTATCCTTAGACTGTCTGAGTGCTGCTCTCTTACCTCCATTGATGTGCTGGCAGTATGGGAGCACTGTAGGTTTGTTTCCATGCCACTTGCTTGTTCCACACTCTGGCTGTGTCTAGACTACATTACTCTTTTGAAAGAGGAATGTAAATGAGGCAAATCGAAAGTGCAAATGAAACGCGGATTTAAATATCCTGTGCTTCATTTCCATATTCGCGTCCGAGCGCTTTTTCGAAAAAGGGTTTTTGAAAGTGGGGAAAAAAAAACCTTTTTCGAAAGAACCCGTACTCCTGAAAAAGTGAAGAATGCGGGTTCTTTCAAAAAAGGGTGTTTTTTTCAAAAGAACTCGGTCTAGACTGCTCTTTCACTTTTGAAAAAGGGTTTTTCGAAAAAGCGCTCTGATGCAAATATGCAAATGAAGTGCTGGATATTTAAATGTGCGCTTCATTTGCACTTTTGATTTGCTTCATTTACATTCCCTTTTTGAAACAGGAATGTAATTTAGACGTGCCCTCTCTGACTACATGAAGCACAATGGCAGAGCAAGGAGCAGGTACCGATCTGTAGGGCACTCCCATGGGTTGACTGTCGGAGGCCTGTGCCACCACCACAGTAACATAGATCCCTATGCATTAACATTGACATGGAGAAGTGCCAGATACATGGAGGTGAGACCAGGGAAGAAATCATAGATGCTGAGGGGTTTGCATGGAGCCCTTCATGTCTTCTTTTGCATAGGGTCTCACAAAATCTATTTCATTTACGCCTGAGTAGCTTAGATATCACGCTGCAGAACCACAAAGTGGTGTTAAATTGCTCTGTCACATTGATTGGTGAAAGAGCCATTGTCTAATTCCAGTGGAGAAGGAAAAACTTACTAATGATTGCACAGTGTTTTCCGTGGAGAGCCAAAAACCTCTCTTCCCCCCCAACTATATAGTAGTAATGAACTGGTCCATTGGTAAGAGATTCACATTCCAGGAGGCACCTGTCATTCAGAACTGGACAGTTAACAATGTCAACCCAGATCCCCAAAGATATTAAGGTGCTATTGGTTTCAGGGGGCCATTCAGCTGGGCTGATTGACTGAACCTCTCTTAATGCTTTCCAAAAAGAAGCAAGATGGTACTAATGTTCTGCAACAAGTTGGTACTCTTTGGATTGTTGGTTTTTTTTTTTTTCTTCAATATTGTACTGACTCTTTCCAAAGGCTGCTTATGTTGAGTACCTGAATGGACCCTTCTTATTTGAGAGTATGTATGCAGAAGATACAGAAGCTGTCAGACTGGCTTACCTCCCTGGCATGGCTGATCTGCTGGAGACATATCCTTCTGTTAGAAAATCTAGTGATAAAATCTAATGACTTCAATTTACAGGGATGTACATCAACAGGGATTTTTCATCTGTTCTTTTATATAGACCTGAAAGCTGTATTGATCTGAGATTGGAGACTTGCTATATTTAGTCTTGGTCTAGTGCCTTAAAAGTACTGCTAGATCATGAGAGCACTGACAATTTTAAATTCTGCTATTTCGTGAAACCCAAGGGCTATAAAGAAATGCTTTGTCCCATTGGCAAACTGGAAACCCTACATTAGAAAATCCCATTTGTAAAAAAGGCTTGGTTCCAATAACAACAAGATCATGAGATTTCAGTGTTTTACAGTCACATCATTCCGATCACCATCTTGTTTTTTCTCCACTTGAATCAGACTTGCTATTAAAAGCCAATGCCTTCTAAACATCTGGAAATCAGGGCGTTGGCAGTCTCTTAAAGCCCAGAATGCAACCAATCTCTCAAAGGGCAGAGAGAGTTAATTTACATCTGCAGCAGTTGTGAGATAGCAGTTGCTAAAATCATATTACAGTTGAAGTGATAGGGCACAGGGAGAATAATGAGGATTATCCAAATCAAATATTTCACAACCTGCCAATTATATGCAAGGTCATGGTAGCCATGTGGGAGGAGCTGTCCTGTCCTTTTTGGGGAGGCCGCTCCAGGATCAGCACTTTGGGGACCACTGCCTCAATGTCCTATGGACAGGACAGTCTCCCATGTTAGCCACAGGGTCTAGGGAGGCCCAGGGGATTACCTGGGGAGTGCTCTGGCACGGGGCAGCAGCAGTCAGTGAGCCCCCTCCCCTCTGAGAAGGGGTGGGGCCTCAAGCAGAAGGGGCGGGGCCAGGACACTTCCATGCTTCCCCACCCACAGACAATGGTTGGTCTGAGGGTGGGGGAGCATGCAAAGTCTTTACCTCCCTCCCCAGAAAAAACATGGCAGTTGTTCTGAACAGCTGGCGGTTCCCTCTAGGTACCATGGTTGGTCTGAGGGTGGGGGAGCATGCAAAGTCTTTACCTCCCTCCCCAGAAAAAACATGGCAGTTGTTCTGAACAGCTGGCGGTTCCCTCTAGGTACCTGTGCCCCTGGCGGTGGGAGGAGACTTTGCACTCTCCCCCCTGCTGCTCCCAGGTCAGTCAGGGCATGCGGGGGAGCACATGTAGTCTCTCGCTCCCAGCCCCTGCTTGCAAGGGAGTGCCAGGCTTAAAGTTAGCTGCCAGCTGAGCAGCAGGTGGCGGTTGACTTTACGTGCTGAGTCCCTTGAAAGGTGGGAGGAGACTTCACACACTCCCTCTGTCCTAAAGCCCTGATTGGTCTGAGGGTAGGGGGAGCGCACAAAATTTCCTCCTATGGTGCCTCCATCCTGCAAGGAGTGTGCAGTGCTTAGAAGTGCTGCACCCCTCACAGGGCAGGAGGAGACTTCACGCACTCCTGCCCCCACGTCCTGATTGGCTTGGGGCTGGGCGGAGTGGTAGGGCCTCCACGGGCCGGATCAACTCACTTGGTAGGACAAATCCGGGCCATGGAGGCCCTTTTGCCCACCCCTGCTATACACTTGTCAGGAAAGCTTCAGAGGGGTAGCTGCATTAGTCTGCAACTGGAAAAACTTAAACAACACTTTTGCAGGACCTTAGAGATTAACAAAGCATCTAGAGAGTACAGGAAACCCCCGACATGTAACTGCCCGAGTTCTGACCCCCCACACTTACAACCATTTTTGTAAGTGCAGAAGAGGTCGAAAGCCCCCGACTTCCATCCTTGACCCACACTTACTACGGCGCATAGCGCCTATTGTAAATGAGGGTTCGAGTTACGACACTCCTGACTTGCGACTCTTCCCTGGGAACCAATCGCGTCGCAAGTCGGGGGCCGCCTGCATCATGAGCTTTTGTGGGCTCAACCCACAGGAGAGACTAAATACAATAGACTTTTGAAACAATTCCATTACTAAGCAACTTGCAACTTCTCCCCTTCCTCATAGACATCATCTTTGTGGTGCTACCAAATCCGTGTGTTTAGGGCTCTGGCTGTTGGCTTTGGAGCAGGATTTGTTAACTTTACAAACACTGTACTCACAGCTATGCAACAGGTAGGGTCAGATGCTCCATTCTACTTGCATGGCAGAGAAGAGTCGGGGCGAATGCTCATTTACTTTTGTGCCCACCATGTTGCTCTCTCCACACTGTCATGGTAGCAAAGCCCCGGTTCATTAAGAAGATGTGGCCCCATCCTTCAAGATGCAAAATACTCAGTGCAGCACCTGAACTGCCAGTGAGCTCAGTGGAATTGTCCGTCAAGATGCTTTGCCATGCATTTAGGTTGGTAACATTTGTTCACAGTGGAGCAGCGCTGGCTATCATGCAACCATTCTTAGTGTACTGATTGAATTCCTTGACTCTGGTTTACATACAAGAATAAATTTGTATCCATTTGTGAGAACCTCTTTGCCTATGGTCTGAAAGAGCATGAAAAGCGACAAGCAGAAGTCTCAACCTTCTATGAGTGCCTTGAAGAAGCAATACAGGACAGTCAACGGCAAGGCATACAAATAATCCTAGATTTTGAAAACTACAATGAGGGGGTATTTGATTACAGCTTTTATTTATTTAAATGATTTCTGTGTATAAGAGGCCAGAGTCTGACCTCAGGGATGTATGGATCCACTGAGATCAGTTTAATGACTCCAGGTTTACACTAGCATAAGGGAAATCAAGATCTAGCCCTAGATCTTACTGTATATGTTTTTATGGGCTTGTTTATACTGGAGTGATTGATGTTGTGTTAATTAACATAATATGGAGCATGACTTAGCACTCAATATAAATGAAGACAGGTGTGTTCAAAATCATGTCAGCTGGAAGTGGTTAAACCTGGCTTCTGGGACTAAGCAGAATCAGCTGATGTGGTTTTAAACATGACAGTCCTTGTCTTTGTGTATTCAGTGTAATGATAATATAAATACATTTACTACAACAGACAAGTCCCCATGTTAATGGTTCTTAAAGGCTTGGCAGGAAGATTTTTAACTGAAATGCTTTTTCCATAAAAAAAAATAGGAGTGTTTAATTTTAAGATAATGAAAATGTTCACTAAAAACATTCTTTTGAAATTTTTCATGAAACTAATTGAAATGAAAATTTTTGATTCAGAAATTTTCATTTTATTTTCATGTTTTGGTTCATACCCATGTACTGTGCCTCCACTGAAAAAGGAAGAAGAATGGGAAAACGTGTCAAGAGGATCATTATTTATTCAGGAGACAAGATGAGTGACATCTTTTATTGGACCAACATCTGCTGATGAGAAAAACAAGCTTTTGAGCAACACAGAGCTCTTTTTCAACATTGGGAATCTCAGAAGCTTGCTCACCAACAGAAGCTGGTCCCATAAAAGATGTTACATTGTCCTGCTTGTCTGTAATATTCTAGAGCCAACCCAGCTACAGCAACACTACAATGATTTATTCCAGTCATTTTGGTTTCACTTCATTTTGTTAAAAAAAATCCCCAAAATAATTTCCAGTGGAAGAAAAAGTTCATTGTGTTTGAATATTTTGGCAACAAATACAATTTTTCAATCAGCTCTGCTTTCTAGAGACCTGAAGCTAGCTCACTGGGGGCGGCGAGGCATGGCACAGTATGGTAAGGAGGGGATAGCTCAGTGATTTGAGCATTGGTCTGCTAAACCCAGAGTTGTGAGTTCAATCCTTAAGGGAGTGATCTAGGGCAAATCTGTCAGGGATGTGGTTCTGCCATGAAGTAGGGGACTGGACTCAATGACCTCTCAAGGTCCCTTCCATTTCTGTGAGATAGGTATATCTCCATATATTATAGATTCAAGCTATAATAACCTTTGTAACTATTTAAAATAGAGGGGCAAGTTCTTCTTGTTCCAAGAAGTCCATGGAAATGTCAGCTTGACTAAATCTTGGTGAAGGGCTTTGTCAGCTGTACGGAACGAGCTGCCCATGACTGGCTGCAATGAGATCACCAGTGCTGAGCACCTCTGAAATGAGGCTGCTTTTATTTAGGTGTTTGGTAACAAGGTGGCAGGATGCTGAGTATTTCTATTACCAGGTGCTTGAATCCTATAAAGGCACAGTATATATTAACACTGACTCATACTAGGGATGTAATAGTATAATCAATTAACTGATTAACCAATAAGCAAAAACTTACCAGTTAATGCTATATAGACTATATGCATTTCCTTAGCCCTCCGCACTTGCCAGTAAATTTTTTAACAGGCTGGCCAGCAGCCCGGCTCAGTCCTGGCTTGCACCGGGTCTGGGACCTACCCCTGGTGTGGCTCTCATTTAAAGTATATTAGAAGTTGGCAGGCAGGCAGCCCGGCTCAGTTCTGGCTCATGCCAGGTCCGGGACTCAGACCCCGCCCTGGACAGGGGCTGCTGCACAGAAGCAGCAGCATGGGGTGACAGGCAGCTAGTCTGTGAAAGGAGCTGGTTTTTAAACTGGCTGCGGACCAGCTCCAACTGCCACACTACGCTGCTGCCTCTGATACAGAGGCAGCAGCATGGAGTGGCAGGGGACACTCCGGGAGGGGGGCCAGAGTGCACTGGCTGCCAGCCCCACCCGCAGGGACTATAGAATAGTTGAGTAATTGATATGAATTCGAGGTTAATCGACTATTCAATTAACTGATCTTTAACATCCCTAACTCATACCAGCAAGTGGACTTAACTTTATCCAGGGGATAAGTGGGGATGAGGCCTCAGAGGTGTTGAAAATTCTGAGGGAAAGAAAAACAACCATGGGGGAAGAACACTCAGGAATGCTCATAGCCCCATTATGCTAGGTGCTGTGCAAACAGAACAAAATGAGAGCCCCAGCTCCAAAGCATTTTTATTTGTGTTACGCCCCCACTGTCAAAATGGGGGTAAGTTTGGATTTTAGGCAATATGTCTGTCTGCTCCTTAGAGCAGCATAGGCACTCTGCCTGCCTACAAGCTCAGGTAGGGATTTAGGTGCTGAATTTAGGCAACTTGTATACGAAAAATTCTGACCTAAGTGAGCAGGTCAAGGTGAAAGAGGGAGCCACAGTCAGTCAGGCAAATGGATTAGTAATATAAGTATAAAAATGGGTGGGAGGAGATTAGAAGGTGATGATAAAGTATAAACCATTGCTAGGGTCCATTTGCCAGTGATAATTCTACCATGCAGCCTATATGAACTGCAAGACAGCTCAGCTTGCTCTGAAGCTAGTTAAGGAGCAAAGAATTATGCCAAATCCCTAAAGCAGCAGGTATTGTTAACAGGAGCCTGGTTTTAATTGCTTGGGGCCTCCTGGCTTGATTAAATTATATAAAGAAATGCCCCCATTACCATTTCAGTGTGTGCACGATCTCTTTTGATTTACACATAGCCCTCTGCAATGATTCTTGCCTAATTTTAGTCCATTCTGTTGGCTCCAACTGTGAAGTGCATTAACTTCTTCAAAATATATTTTTAATGCTCAGATTTCAGTAGGAGAGATTTATTACAAAGACACTTCTTGAAAATGACCTTTGCTTAGCATGTACATTGCTTAGCAATATTAAGATTGTTGAGCTAAGAGATACATATTGACCGCTGTGAAGCTGATGTCAGTCTTTAACTTTGAAGAGCAAGATTTAGTGTCATTCACTAGAACACAAACTCATTACTTGTGATGTTCTATTACATATCTTTAGAGTGCCAAATCCTGAGCCCATTGAAATCAAGCAGAATTCTCCTTGATTTCCGAGGGACCAGGACCTGCATTTCTTAATAAGGAGTAATTGGCAATGTTTCCCCGATGGCCATGAATTTCAGAAGTCTTATTGTTTTTCCTTTGACAGAATTTCTGTAGCTGAGATATGAAGTAGGAAGCCTAGGAAAAAAAGCCATTTGCTGACTGGCAAGTGAATAAGAGTTTTCATGCTATTCACTATGGCAAAATCTTGTTGGCTAACATTGTCGCACACCTCAGTATCACTGACTTTTGAGCATGTTAACAGTCACTTAGCAAGCCATCACATTTCAGTTCAGCCAATTGTGAGCCAAAACTTTTCTCATGTATGCGTGTTAGTCTGGTGTAGACTAACACAGCTACATTTCTATCACTGTTCTATTTGTTTCAGCTACACCAGACTAACACGGCTACATTTCTGTCATTTTTCTCATGTATGTAATAGCAGTTAATTAAATTTCAATGGAATGGTGAACATAAATGATAATGTATGTTTCTATCTATGTTTAGCTGTTGGACCTCATTCAAAATACAAGTAGTTTAGAGATTGCAGAGTCTAAACTTGTGAAGTACAATGAGGACATCAGTCAGCTCTCAGACACACTTATGACCCTGGAAATGCAGATGGTTGACCAGCTAGAGGTAAGGCAAGGTGATCTCTCTGCTAAGCCTCAGGCAGAGAACACTGAGGCTGATTCTCTGTGGCTTACACCTTGTGCAGTTGCAGTTGTGCAGAACTCTACCATTCTGGGTAGGGTCTGACAGCTACTTTATTCTCATTCTGCACAGGAGCATGGGAGGTTGTACACGAAGTGCAAGGCAGCAGAGTTGGACTCAGTGTATTTATATGTTGTGTCAGAGCTTACTATTCATATGCTGCTACTGAGGGTGAAGGCAGGCATTAGCTAAAGGGTTATCCAACAGATTATTGGGCCACTTTGTGGTCCTGACTGCAGAAGTTGCCCCTTAATATAGGACATATTTTCAAGGTTCTAGTGGTGTACTTCTTTCAATGGGATCTTTGCTATGACTGAAAAACTACACTCATGCCCCAATCCCAAATTAGTCTAATTTGCTGAGCACCCTCCTCCCCTGAGGGCATGACTATGGTGGCTCATAGTGGAGTTCAAGGCAGATGCTTTGCAGATCACAGGAGAGAGTTAATTTATTGATTTCAATGGTTACCAATAGATTTTGCAGAAATATCAGAGGTGCTGTTCACATGCCCTGCTTGAGGCACCAGAGTGTTTTAAACCTTTTATTAGGGATGTTAGGGGAAAGGAGAAGCTCTAAGGGTGCATCTGCACGGCACCCTTACCTTGAAATAAGCTATGCGATTTGCACTACACAGATTGCATTGCTTATTTTGAGATAATTTAGAAATAGCTTATTTTGAAATTAAGCGCTATTCTGACAAGTCCCTTAACCCTGGTGGAATGAGGGTTACAGGGATGCTGGAACAGTGCGCCCATGATTTCAAAATATATTTTGAAATAATGAAAGCGTTTAAAGACGTGGAGTTGCTATTTTGGGATACTTCTGGTATCCTGAAATAGCCTCACTGTTTAGACATAGCCTAAGAGACTATTACCTGGTTTTGAAAGAGGCAGGAAGAAGCAGCTCCAACCTTCCAGTATTAAAACAAAAGCTCTCATAATCCCAGCTGTTAGTTATGCTCTGCTGGAAAAGTCTTCAAGAAGCCCATGTAGAATGAGAAGGGTTGACACCTGGTTTTAATCAGAGACAAAACGTTCTCTAATCATAATGTACTCTAGAAGTTTAAAGTGATTTGATGGAGAGAACTTCTGAGAATATGTTATTCTGGCATAACTCCATCAATTCTTCCCAATAGGATTGAGTCTAATCTCCCCTGACATTTGCATCCCAGTGCAGAAAAGCACATACCTTCAGCACAACTAATTTGTCTTAGGCACCTTCAGTCCCCAACAGTGCTGATAAAACTTGGGGATCAGATCAAAAGTGTACTGCATTTTAGACTCCCCCACACATTCTGACCTGTGGAGTGTGTTGGTAACTTTTCATTTTCTTTTCACATGAAGGAAATAATAAAGGATTTTGAAAGAAACATTGCCGATCAGGTGTCAACATTTATCGAGAACGTCCAAGGGATATATCCTTTTGGCAGTCTACTGGGTTGGAACTCTGTCATATAAATCTGACCCACTGTGTATGTGTTGCTTCACTTCACAAGATTACTGTAAGGCCCAGAAGTCAGCACTCACTGTATGGAAATGGTTTGTTGCTTATTAGTGTGTTGTAGGCTTTAATGGATTAATTCTTAGGAGCATTTCCCAATTCATGAAATACAGACTCAGCTCAAATATTTATCTACCATATTCTCAACAAGAGAATACAGTCAGGATCAGCTACACAAGTCAGTGCTGAGGGTGTAATGCACGGGTGGGCAATAATTTTTAATGGGGGTGCTCTCCAAGATTTTCTTAAGTGGGCAAGGGGTGCACTTCTGTGGAGGAGGTGCTGGGTCTGGGACAGAGGGTGGGGTGCAGAAGAGAGCTTGGGATAGAGGACGGGGGTGCAGGAGGGAGTGTGGAGTCTGGAATGATGAGAGAGGTGCATAAGGGATCTTAGGGTAAGGGACTGGGATCTGTGAGGGGGCGTGGGGTCTGAGAGGGAGTTTGAGTGAAGGAGTGGGTTATGATCTCGAGCAGGGGTTTGGGGTGCAGGGTCCAGGAGGGGTTATGGTTGCAGGAGGGGATTCTGGCCTGGGCAAGGGAAGTAGGAGGGAGTGCAGAGGGAGTTGTGAACTGAAGGAGATAGGGAGAGGAGATACAAAGGGTTTGGGTGGTGACCTGGGGCAGAGAGTTTTTGGGGAGAGTGGAGCTGAGGTGCCAGAGGCAGGCTCTGGCTAGAAGATGCTTATCTAGATGGCTCCATGCCTGTCTGCAGGGCTGCTCCAGCGGGCTGCTCCACATATTTCTGCTCCAGCACAGGGAGAGAGAAAGGAAGGAGGCTTCGCTTCTGGCCAGCGGAGCTGAGGGATTTTGCTGGGGGCGAGGACAGTGCACGAATTCTTTCATCCCTCCCCAGCTTGCAGAGCAAATAGCAGCTGCTGGTGAGGTGGCCGTGGGCCAGATCCGGCCTGCTGGCCATCTCTTGAGATGACAAGAGTTAGGTACCTAATCCTCGCTGAACATCAAAGGGAATTAGGTTCCTCATTGCCCTTTCTGCCTTTAAAAGTTCAGCCCTCTATTTCTGAGCAAACTCTTGGCAAATGTGACGAGGGGTACGTCTAGACTACAAGCCTCTTTCGAAAAAGAGCGTCTAGACTATAACCAGCACTTTCGAAAAAGCGATCTGCTTTTTCAAAAGAGAGCACACAGGCAGTCTGGATACTCTCTTTCGAAAAAGCAGTTTGCATTACATAACACCTTTTTTCAAAAGAGCACTTTCGAAATAAGGCGATATTTCTCGTAAAAAAAGGTTTTCCGCGGTCGAAAAAACTGCCGCGTTCTTTCAATTTACTTTCGAAAGAACGCGGCAGCAGTCTAGACGCAGGAGAAGTTTTTTTAAAAAAAGGCCACTTTTTTAAAAAAAAAACCTGTAGTCTTGACACACCCTAGGTGATGATATCTATGTATTACAGTACTGATCTTTAAGGGATGAAATACCTAAAACTCCTCCTGTACTGTCGTCATACCCTAGATGGTTGTGTAGCTGTGTGCTCTAAAACAGCTGCTCTCTTCTGCCTCAGAAGCGGCTGCATTGCAGTGGCAGATGAAATGATTTTTGTAAACACAAAACTCTTGGCTGTGCACAAGTGCTTGTCAACTTCAGAGTTGTGCACATGCAAAGGTCTTGTTGAATTTCCTGTACCAATGGCTCCCAGTGTCACTTCTGGACAGCCTACCACAATGTGGGCAGTGAGGGGGAAGGATTGCTTTTGGACATTTCTGGGCATTCTCCAACAGTCAGCTCAATTACTTTACAATGCAAACTCAAGGAAGCAGAGTTTTTACTGGTCACCTCTTCACAGGAAGTGGATGAATCCCCCTTTTGGGCTAGCAGTGTTTGCTTATGTAGCTCATCAGGGTTGATGAACAACACCAAGTCCAGCCTTCCAGAGGCAGGTCTTTTGACAGATCAAATGCTACTGTTCTTTGTTTCTTAACCTTCTTCCATACGATGGTTCAGTGCCGGGATCTAGAAAATCATCACCATGAGAAACTGCTGGAGATTGCAATCAACACTCTGGAAAAGATAGTCAAGAGCGAGTTTGATGAGGATATGCCAGATGACGTTCGACTGGTGAGGGCCCTAACTGTATCCACAACTTAGGCTCTTCTAGGAAGCAGGGATCCCAAGTGTGGAGGAAGAAGGGAGCGCAGCATGTTCCCTACCAAGATTGGCTTTCAGAGATCCAATATTGTGTGAATTATTCTGCCAAAGCTAGAAGTAGTTTTATTTCAAACCCTCCCCACTCCCACCAATAAGGCTGCAGGAAAGTCATGGTTTGTTAGTTCAACGGTTGTGGCTGAAGTTTGTAGAAGTTGCAGTTTTGTCTTGGTCAGACATCGGCATGGCACTAGGTAGATACTCCCTTTGGGTCTCAGAAGCCTTGTGTCGGGTTCCTGATGAGGAAGGAAGACTGCCTCTGGGCACTCCCCTCCTGCCCAAGAAGCATTAATCTTGCTCCTGCAACTTCTTCCAAGGCATGCAGCCTCCCTTCCAAGGCAGGGAAGTGGCATGGAAGAGATGCCATGTGATCTCCTTGACTTTCAAAGGCAAGCATGACGGAGGCCAAATCTGAGTTACGGTGTATGTTAAAAGTTGTGGCATAACACAATGGCAGCCCGGAGTTACCCATCAAGCATTGGTGCTGGACAAATTGCATCCCTGGGCCTGCAGGGGCAGATGATGATTGCACTGCAGCTTTCCACTAGGGATGAAGATGTATTCTAGCTAGCGCTCGGAGTCCTGCTGCCGGAAGCTGCCTGGGAGAGGTGCCTGCTCAGACTGGCCTCACCCTGCCCCCTCCAGGTGCTCTCTAACTGAGCTCTCTGCCCTCCAATACAGTAGGGCTATGTCTACACTGGCGGCTTCTTGTGCAAGAACATCTTGCACAACAGTTCTTGTGCAAGAAGTCCTGTGCAAGAACACGTCCACACTGCCATGTGCGAGCTGTGCTTTTGCGCAAGATTATCCATGGCAGCGTGGATGCTCTCCTGTGCAAGAAAACTCTGATGGCCATTTTAGCCATAGGGCTTTCTTGCGCAAGAAACCCCTGCCGTGAGTCCACACTGCCTTCTTGTGCAAGAGCTTACTCCTGTTAGAAAAGAGCATAGCTCTTGTGCAAGAAGCCCTCTCTTACCATGCCGTACTGTAAATTTCCTTGCGCAAGAGCGGGTGGGCAGCGTGGACACTCTGGATTCTTGCGCAAGAACGGTCGTTGTTGCACAAAAACCCACCAGTGTAGACATAGCCTAGGAGTTTGGGGCCATACGCTCTACTGCATTCCCATTCTGGTAGTTCCCACACCTTGAGTCTTTAGGCCAAATGCATCCTGGCTGTAACTCCTTGAAAGGCAGTAGAGTTGTGCCTGCTTACTTAGGGTTTGATTTGGCCTGACAATTTGATATCCCCATCCCCATAGAGATCAGTCAGTCCTTTGGAAGAGCTACGTTGGATTCCGCATAGGTCTTTTAGCTAAGACCTCAAATCAAGGTCCTGTCTGCTCTGCAGAAATAGTAGCAATCCCATGGCACACTTGAAGAGTTCAGTGCTAAGCCTGGTGTCCTTTACCAAAATCTCCACTCTGCTTACTACTGACTGTGCCCCAGGAGGCTGCATTTCAGTGGTAGTGGATGGAGGTAACGTGTAATGTAGCTTGTAGCCTCTCAGAACAAAAGCTGCTGTAGCCACTGAAAATTACGTTATTAAACCCTATTTACTGGGGTTTATCACAAAAGGAAAAAATGTGAAGGCAAAAACTTCATAGAGGGGTGAGCAGATGCAAGGTATGTTTTTCATATGAACAGACAGGGTGGGATGTTGCTCAGAGGCTTTCTGAGGTGGCAGAAAACTAACATTGTGGAAGGCTCTCTAGCTTGGGGCCTTTTGCTGCTATTAAACAAAGGACAGTTTCTTACAGGCGAGGGGTTTGGTGTGAGTGGGGAGGGATGGAGTAGGGACTACATGTCCAGGATGGGTGCTATACCTGCCCTAGCCCAGTTTTAACACTTGTCAGTCTGGGGTCCCCCATCTTTACCTCTCTCATCCCAAAAACTGAATCCACATTTTTAGCACGGAGCCCACGCGTTGCTCCGCTAACCTCTCTATTACAGCTCACAAGGAACAGATCCTGGCTTCCACCACTTGAGCCACAGCCTCTATCAACAAGTGTCCTTCTAGCTCCAGGCCCCTCTGCGTCAACACCGTGCCAACTCAGAGCCTAGCATGGCAGATTCCCTGAGCTGGTGCCCAGCCTACCAGGTCTGATAGGCAGCAGTAATTATTTCTTCATAATTAGAGACAGCTGTAAGGAGGCAAAGTCAGAAGGAAATAAGTGACTTTCATGGCACGTGTTCAGAAAGGAGCCCTGCAAGGCAGGGGCAGCTGCCGGCTGCATGGACTGTGAGCACGGCCTCAGTCATGCACCATTGCCACAATACTGATTTTTCCCCTCACTCCTGCCCATCTCCACAGAGAAACAATTTCCAGGTATTTAGCAGGCAGGCTTGGTTGCAGGAGGAATACTAATTATGGTTTACAGAAGCCATCCTTTATTTCAAATCTCAGAGGAAGCTGCTGCTTCTGTTGGAAGTGGTGGTGCCGGAACAAAGATACACAGTGGATGCCACCAGTGACAGTGGCCTCTTCTGAGTGCAGTTTTCCAGTTACCATACTTGCTGGCAGAGGCATGTTGGCACGTATCCAGCCTTCCACTGAACTGACAGCTGCCAATACGGGCTTGCCATATGCTGTAAGGAAGCACAGTGTGGAGGAATAGGCATGGGGTTAGGAGTTTACTCCGTGCTCTGGCTTGTTCTGTAGCCTTTGGCAAGTTACTTCAGCACTGCCTCAGTTTCCCCATCTGTAAAATAGTCCTTGCACCAGGCTATTACAAGTGAGGATAGGCTTGTATAGTGCTTTCAACAGGTAGAGCACAAGGGCTTTGTCTACACTGCCCAGTCTTGCGCAAGAACATATGCAAATGAGGCGTGGCGATATTCACCATGCCTCATTTGCATATGTTCTTGCACAAGACTGGGCAGTGTAGACGAAGCCAAGATGTACCAGAGAGAACTTGTATCTTCTTCTTTGGTGATGCTACCGAGTGCCCTACTGCTGTACATCTAGTTCTGAGAACTGCTGCACTTATATGTAAAATCTGCGCCTCCCATCGCTCGGTCAATTTCACTCCCTAGCTTTTTGTGGACAAAGACACCATTGTCAACGCAGTGAACGCCTCCCATGATATTCACCTGCTGAAGATTGATAACAGAGAGGACGACATCATCACCAAAGCCAACAGCTGGTCGTCTTCAGTGATCGATGAGGTAAGGAAACCTCTGTGGCATGGGGAACAAAACCCTGTTCAGGGAAAAGACAGGGGGCAAGGCAATTGAAAGTATACTGACCTGCAACTTCTTCCTAGTGCAGTGGGCAAAGAGGCACCAGGATCTAGCCGTTGCAGCTGAGCCACTGACAGGGAATCAGACAGGGTGGGGGGAAGCATCTCCTAACTTTCAGCTGGGCCCACTGGCTATAGCAGAAGACTGAAGATTTTAAATAAGCCCAAGGGACCCCCCCCCTTTCTGATCTCACTCCCCTCAGGTTCACAAGAAGGAGATCAGCAGAAACCGCAACCGTGTGCGAGAGATCAATCAATACATCGACCATCTGCAGGAGGAGCTGGACAACATGGAAAGCTTGGAGCAGATGGAGTAGGTCAGCATTGGCACCCCTGGTGGGACCCAGGCCTTGGTAATTTAACAGGTGTACCTCACGCTCTGACAGCCCTCATGTAAATACTCCCTGACGAGGATGTTTCATCCGGGGCTGTCCCTCTCTGCCCCCAAATTATATGCTAATAAAAATACTGTTTGAGTTTGGAAAAGCTCTGAAAGAGGAGTTGAGGATTTCACTAAGTTGTGTGCTGCAAATCAAAGCCAGTTCACAAACAGCTGGGGCTTGGATGAACCATGACCGCATTGAGCTGCGATTCACTCTCTACAAGACAAGGCCATGCCTGGATGGTTTGTGACCTGCAGGCAGTTTTAGGAGCCTGGGACATATGCAGCAGCTGACACAAGACAACTCTCTCCACCAGACTCACTGGCACCTCCCAAACCATTGTGGGGTTCTGGCCCAGTGAGCCTCGGGCTTGAGGCTCTGCAATCAGAGTCATACACAAAGGCAACTTCGTGCAGCATGCGGAGTGGCCTCTGACCAGCAGGAAGGGAGATCAATGGCTCTGCAGAAGCTCACTCAAGGCTGCTCAGTGCCAAGTCATTAATTTCCCTCCTAGCTCAGCAGCAGCTGCTCCATTTGTTTTGCAGGCAGCTTGGACTCATTTCTTGCTGAAGGCAAGTCACTAAAGAGGGGGAAAGAGAGGAAACTCATGCCAGTGGAAAGGATATGGCACAGTGCACAGTGTGGGAAGGGAACAAGACTTCAGCCTTTCATGGCACCAGCCCTGGCCATGGGCTGTTTGAAGTTGCTCTGGTTTAGCTGACAACCCACTGTCCTGCTTTGGGTGTTTTGAGGGAGGCTTTCTTCCCATGCCTGCTCACCGCGACACAGCACGGACTGGCCACATAAGGGTTTTGGCTTTTCGACAGAGCTTAGCACTCATGGCGCCAACTGAAATCAATGTGAGCTATGGGTGCTCAGCCCCTTCGGAAGGTCAAGTCCTACATGTGTCAAGTTGGGCCCCCAGAAATGAAAGGGCCCCCAGTCTGTGGTTGGTTATGAAAGTGCTGGTGCTATTGATTCCCCCGAGTGTTAACTGGAATTGAAGCGGATTCTAAATGAGGAACGTTCTTATGAGAGATTTTCATAGCAACTGCCCAGCTGGCAATTGCTTTTTCTTTAAGACTGAAGCAGTGTTTCTTAAACTTTTTAAGACTGAGGAACACCAAACTATTTTTTTTTTTTAAATGAGGAGCACCAAGGATTTTTTTGTTGAAGGGAATTTTTTTTGTTGGAGTGGGGGGGAGAGTTAGAGGGGAAAAAAAGTGTTGGGGGAAAGTTGAGGAAAAAAGTCACCTGCCCCTTTAAGGGCAGCTATTTTTAATTCTGTTGGTCTCCGCAGCACACCTCCAACTGCCTCGTGGCACACCAGTGTGCCGTGGAACACAGTTTAAGAAACACTGTTCTGAAGTCTGCCACTGAAATGCAGCCTCCTGGAGCACGGTCTTCGGAGACAGGCCCAAATGAAAGCCCAGGAGCCAAACCCCCCTGGACTTGGGGGAGGGAGGTGGGTTAGATCAGACCTGGTCAGTGGGGAATTGGCATTGACCCCACAAGTCATACATATGCATTAGGAGTCCCATTGAAGCCAGTAGGTTTGCTCCGAATTCAGAGTTGAGTGTGTGCATGAGCCTTTGCCTGATCAGGGCCTCAGTTGGTGAGTTAGAATTAGTCAAAAAGCAACACCTTCCCCCCCATCTGGAGTGTCAAAAATCTTTTTCAAAAACAAAACAAGGAAGCACTCCCATCCAGTCCTCAGCAGGCAGGCCGGTGCTTGCCACAGAGCACTGAGCATGGAGATCTTCAGGTGAGAACATGGAGGAAGCAGACAGCTGGCAGTCAGCAATGGCTCTGTATGTCCCCAGTGCTTGGCTCTCCTGTAGCTGTCTGGATGCTCTTGGGCAGAGAGGGAGCACACATCCCGCAATGTGGTGGGGAAGTACAAAATGACTGACCACATTGACTGGTTTCCATTATCTAGCAGATGCCTTTAATCACACTGGGATTGAGCCCAACTTTGTACCGGGGCAGATGCACGTAACTGGGTGAGGAGCAGTTCAGCTGGGTCTGGTCTCCAATGATATGGCTTACCGAAGTCCTTTTGCTGTGATGCCAGTCCCACAGCTGGGAACCTTGGAGGGTGGAATGTAGACTAGCCACCCTTCTGAGTGATCATAAACACTGGTGCTACAGCCTGGGGCAACAGCCAGAGACAGGGCATTTCACTGGGGATGAAGAGAGCTCAGACAGCACTTCCTTTGTAGCAAACCTCAGGGCTGCTGAGCGACACTGGCGCTCTCTAGCACTAGCCAAGCTAGGGAAGAGAAGCTTCGGCTAGGAATCCTTCTGAAGTCATGACCCTCTCAGTGCTAAGTCACTGTGCTGGGAGGGGCTGGGATAGCACTGGTTGCCAGCCAGCGGCTCGAATTCACCAGGCTACATTGTCATCTGTACAGGGCATTCTTCTGCCTCAGTCCTGAAGCAGCTTGTGTTTAACTGTCGAACTCTCCGAACAAAGGTGAGCAAAGAGGGTCCCAGCAGCCGTGCGGGCACGCAGCTCATACATGTCATAGTCGTGGGCCCATTCCACGCTGCCCCAATGCTGGATCTGAGGGAAGAGAGAACAGGGAGCTCACTCGGGAGTTAGAAAGAAGTCTGTACTGCAGGACTTCTTGGCCTCCATTTTTCTATCTGTAAAACGGAGGTAGTAACTCCCGAGCATGACACAAAGCCTCACCAGCGCCTGCCCAGCGCTCAGAGGAAAAGGTTTCTAGAAGGCAGACTTTCAAGTCAGACTTTCATGAACTTCGGGCCAGAGATGGTTTTGTGCAAGAACAGAGTGTTTTCTGATCACAACGGTCACATCACTGGTAGCTCAGTGCTTGGCAAAGTGCTTGGGCCTGGCCAATACACAGAATAAAACTATTCTTGGGCTGTGCACAGCAGGATGGAGTAGGGCTGAAAAGCAACAGGCCAGCCTGTGCAAAAGAAATCCAGAGCCCTCAGAGGCAGGTAGGACTCAAAGTGCCTTTGGCTCTTCATCATGTAACCTGGGTGGCTGAACACACAAACTGTATTGACCACACTGGCGGAGTGACTGGCTTCTGTAAGACCAGGCAGTTCTGTTGCCAGTCATTTGTGCTGGGAGCTCACTTGTCATCCTGTGATTATCACTACTGGAATGATAGGGTAGCTCCAGAACATAACTTACCTGGTATTCTTCCTCAAGGCGAGACAGCAGCACTGCTTTTTCTACTGTAATGTGTCTGTCAAGCAGTCCCATGGACAGAATCAGAGACTTCAATTGTGTGATCACATATTT